AGTGCAGCATCCAGTTTGTGGATTGGTGTCCCACTGGCTTCAAGGTTGGCATTAATTACCAGCCTCCCACTGTGGTCCCTGGTGGAGACCTGGCCAAGGTGCAGCAAGCTGTGTGCATGCTGAGCAACACCACAGCCACAGCTGAGGCCTGGGCTCACCTGGATCATAAGTTTGATCTGATGTGCACCAAGCGTGCCTTTGTCCACTGGTATGTGGGTGAGGGGAATGGAGGAAGGAGAGTTCTCTGAGGCCCGGGAGGACATGGCTGCCCTGGAGAAGGACTATGAGGAGGTTGGGGTAGATTCTGTTGAAGGCGAGGGTGAGGAGGAAGGTGAGGAGTACTGATTCCTTTGACCCTGCAGTATGGCAATACTCCAGCTTCTGTTAACTGACAAGACAAAGCTTTCTGGCTAGATTGTCTTCACTATCATCTCCGATCATGTCTTAATTTTCCATGTGTATCTATTATTTTTTCCATCATGTCTAAAAGTAAAAGTATTCTAAAAGAAAAAAAAATGCGGATTATAACTCAATGTAAAGAAAGGTGTTTACTTGTGTTTTGTTGACTATGCCAAGGCATTTGACTGTGTAGATCATAACAAACTATAAATAACCTTGAGAAGGATGTGGCTTCCAGAACACCTCATTGTGTTCATGCAGCAACTGAACATGGATCAAGAGACAGTTGAGCAAACAGAACAAGGGAATACTTCATGGTTTAACATCAAGAAGGTGTGCATCAGGATTATATCCTCTCACCATAATTATTCAATCTATGTGCTGAACCAATAATCAGAGAAGCTGGATTATATGAAGTAGAATGCAGGCTCAGGATTGGAGGAAGGTTTACCAACCTGCCATATACAGATAACATAACCTTGCTTGCTGAAAGGGAGGGGGACTTGAACAACTTGTTTCGGAAGATCAAGGATTACAACCTGCAATGTGGATTACAATTCAGTGTAAAGAAAATCAAACTTCTCACAACTGAATCAATAGATAACATAATGATAAATGGAGGGAAAAATGGAAATTTCAAGGATTTCATCTTGCTTTGATTCATAATCAATGTTCATAGAATCAGAAACCAAGAGATCAAATAATGCATTTTATTGGACAAATCTGCTGCCAAGACCTCTTGACCTCTTTAGAATGATGAAAAGCAGGGTTGTTACTTTGAGGACTAAAGTGGGCCTGACTCAAGCCATGGTATTTTTAATTGCCTCATGCTTGTGAAAGTTGGACACTGAATAAAGAAAATTGAAGAAGAATCAATGCATTGGATTGTGTTGCTGGTTAAGAATATTGAAAGTACCATGGACAGTCAAAAGGAAAGCAAATCTGTCTCGGAAGAAGTATGGCTAGAATGCTCCTTAGATGCAAGGATGGTGAGACTTTGTCTTACTTATATACTTTGAAGATGTTGTCAAGAGAGACCAGTCTCTGGAGAAGGACATCATGCTTAATAAAGTAGAGGACCTGAAAAAAAGAAGGAAGGCTCTCAAGGACATGAATTGATACAGTGGCTGCAACAATGAGCTCAAACACAGGAATATTTGTGAGGATGGTGCAGGGCTAGGCAGTGTTTTGTTCTGTTGTGCATATGACGCTATGGATCAGCACCGACTCCATGGCCCTTAACAACAATAAAAAACCTCCCAGTATCTGAAAGTACTGAATGCTGGGGAGGCCACAGAGCAAGAAGGACTTACAACAACTGTAGGAACCAATTTGGCAGAATTTCATGAAATTAAACATACATTTATCCCTTAAGATAGGAATTCCACTCCTAGCAAAATCCCTGTACTTCAGTAATAGGAAATATGTACAACAATGTTAATATCCACTGCTATTGAGTTGATTATGACTCATAGCAACCATATAGGACAGAGAAGAACTACTGCCTATGTGGGTTTCCAAGACTGTAAGTCTCTAAGGAAGTAGAAAACCTCATCTTTCTCCATGGAGTGGCAGGTGGTTTTTAATTGCTGACCTTGAGGTTACCATTCCAACACATAACCACTACAATAAAAATGGAATTCCAAACTCACCGCCATCCAGTAAATGCTGACTCATAAGACAGCGTAGAACTGCCCCTGTGGGTTTATGAGACTGTAGATCTTTAAGGGAGTAGAAAACCCTGTGTTTCCCCCGAAGCAGCTAGTTGTTTGGAACTGTGGAGCACAACCCAATGTATAACCACTATGCCACAACCACAAGAATACTATAAACCCAACCACCCTTCCAAGAGAAAATAGACCTAAATGTTTCTCAATAACAGACTAGAAAATTTGAGGCATTTTATACAATGAAGTGTCTTTTGGCTGAAAAAAGATATCAATATATCAACATGAATGAATTCTTAATGCCATTCTTATAGTCTTTTTAAAGATGCTAATGAATAATCACCTTAAGTGTTGAGGTTCTAGTGAATT